ACAGAGGATATGCATTGAATAGCCTTGCCCAGTGACTCATGAGTGTCATTTTGCACACAAGGTTCTGTGGAACTGGTACCGATGTGCTCCCCGAAGTGTTGGCTAATGCCAATTCAGATTGCCAGTAGAATATCAGCTCCTTCTAGAAAAACTATAGAGAAACTCGGCCTTTCTCTTTCAAGCCAGTTTCCCGACCTAAGAGAACACATCCTCCTCTTCCTCTCCACTCTCTGGCCCCGCTGCCCTCCACCCGGGCTCTCTCAGTCCGTCCTTCCATTCCAGCTTCGTCCTCCACGGTCTGGGTATATCCGTGTTCCTGACAACCACAGTCTAGGTTTTCTGAGCTTGTGAAGAAATGATCAAAAACTATACTACATATATTTTTCAAAAACTTTTCAAAACATAAAACCTTACCTTTTTATCATGGAAAATATTGCTGATATCAATAATAACACATGAATTTTACTACAAAATTCCACCAAGTATACTGGATAAATCTTAAAGGTCAGAAAGAATGAGTGTGCAGAAAATATATACACAGACACACATGCTCTCTCTTCCTCAGGACTTGGATTAAAATGGCATGCTATGAGGGATTCCTATCTATATTGTTATTCGGCTAGAAATTTCTAGAGCTGCAGCTTAAAACAAGTCATCTTGAGCATAAAAAGAAATTAAAGAACATGCTTTTATGACTGGGCGCGATGGCTCATGCCTGTAATTGGAGCACTTTGGCGGGAGGAACGCTTGAGCCCAGAAGTTTGAGACCAAACTGAGGAACAAAGCGAGATCCCACCTCTACAAAAATAAAAATGAGTCTGCTGTGGTGGCACATGCCTGTAGTCCCAGCTGCTCTGGAGGCTGAGGCAGGAGGATTACTTGAGCCCAGTTCAAGGCTACCATGAGCTTTGATTACACCACTGCATTTCAGCCTGGGTGACACAGTGAGACTCTGTCTCTCAAAAAGTAATTAATTAATTAATTAAGAGCTTGATTTTTTATTTTTTTGTAGACACGAGGTCTCACCAAGTTGCCCTGGTGGAGGCCGGAGGCGAGTGGATTGCCTGAACCCGCGGGTTCATGACCCGCCTGGGCAACTTGGTGAGACCTCATCTCTACAATAAATCAAAAAATTAGCTGGGTGTGGTAGCCCACGCCTGTCGTTCCAGCTACTCGGAAGGCTGAGGCGGAAGGATCGCCGGAGCCCAGCAGGTCGAGGCTGCCGTGACCGGGAGTGGCCGCTGCAATCCAGTCTGGGCGACAGAGTGAGACTCCAAGTCAAAAGAAAAAGAAAAAGAACTTGATTTTGATTCCAAAAAACGTCAGCATTTAGGGAGAAACTACAGCCTCAGTTGTCAAGAAGGAAGATGACAAGTTCGATTTTATCTTAGGAAGTTAGGGAAAAAAACTGACCAAAGGAAAGCAGACAGATGGAACCGATCAAGATAAAAGCTGAAGTTAACAGAGAACAGAATGGAAAAAGGAGACGTGATAAGTCAAAATCCTGGTTTTTTTCTTTGACTAGACCAATGACCGAGCCAGATCACTGGAATGCTGTCTAAATGAGAGATTGCAGACGTCTCTTACAGTCTTTGTTTGTGTAGGGGTGTGTGTGGTGCTGTGGGGGGTCTGTGTGTGGCACACACGTGTGAATGTGTATGCGTGCTTGTGAGTTGTGGGGTGGGGGTGCAGTGTGTGAATGTGGGGGTGCATGTGTGTGGTGGAAGGAAGCAGGGGCTGTGTGTGTGCCCGTGTGTGAGTACTGGTGTGCTAGTCTGAATGTTTGTGTCCCCCAAAAATTCACGTTACCACCTAATCACCAAGGTGGTGGTGTTAGGAGGTGGGACCTTCGGGAGTGAGGGGGACACAAGGGCAGAGCCCATGAGTGGGATGAGGGCCCTCGTAGGAGTCCTGGGGGCTAGCTAGTCCCTTCCCCGTGTGAGAACACAGAAAGAAGGTGTCATCCATGAGGAATGAGCCCTCACTGGACACCAAACCTGCTGGTGCCTCCACCTGGACTTCTCAGTCCCCAGAACTAGGAGCACTGACTAAGACAAGAGAGATTCCAGGACGGGCCGGGCGCGGTGACTCACTCCTGTAATCCCAGCACTCTGGGAGGCCGAGGCAGGAGGATTGCTTGATCCCAGGACTTTGATACCAACCTGGGCAACATAGTGAGACCTCATCTCTACAAAAAAGTAGCCGGGCATGGTGGTGCACATCTGTACTCTCAACTACTTGGGAGATTGAAGTGGGAGGATCATGTGAGCCCAGGAGATCGAGGCAGTGGTAGGCTGTGATTGTGCCACTGCACTCTAGCCTAAGTGACAGAGTGAGACCGCAACTCAAAAAAATGATATACAATGACGATTAAATACATTACACTAAAGCAAAAGATTTGAAACCCATCATGTCCTATCGCCTGAGCACATTTGCATGTCCTACGGCCACGTTTCAGGGACTTCGTGCTGGCAGCCCGGCACTGGCCACAGTGGACGAACTATACCCCAGCAGTCTGCTGGCTACAGCGGGGCCTGGTTTGTGCCTGTTGTGTGGACCGCCATACGTGCAGAAGTAACACAGAAAATGCTCAGAATGCAGTCAATTTAGAACATGGTGGCTTCTCGTCTTTGCTGTTTCACTTTTGTCTTGTTCACTAAGATCAAAGAAGCCATCAACCGCCATTTCCGTGGAAAGTCGGCATCATTGCCAGCATGGCTAGGTCCAGATGCAAGGGTGCAGCCAAAGCTCGTGAAGGTATTTTGGGAGTGAACCAGTCATGTGGCACGACAAGGCAGAGTGGGTTGTGTGCCCTGATGTACTTCATATCTGCTGTGGACCTTGTCATTTACAAACTATGTGCTCCTTCCTCTCAGTAACACTGACCACCGTCCACGTGTGTGTGGGGGACAAGGGGCGCTCCAGGCCTACACACTACCATTTCCTCCCTGGAGAGGCGGTCCCAAAGCATCGATGAGCACATCTCTGCTTTGAAGTGGCCGGGGGGCAGGTCACAGCCTGTCGTACAGCACGGTAGGGAGGCAAGAAACTTAGCCTGGTCTTGGGGAGGGTGCTCGAGGCCAGGCCACCCTGAGGGAGGAGCCCGAGAGGGGAGAGGGAGCACAACTGGAGACCCCTCTGTGGAGGTGGCAGTGGCCACTAGTGGGCTGTGAACCTGTCCACCTGCTCCAGAGGTGAGCCCCTGTTCACCTGTCCCACGAGAAGGGACCCACATGATGTCACCTACTCAGCAAGTTTATGGCGAGGCCAGGGTCTTCGGGCCTTACCTGCTGGTTCAGGCTGTCCATCCAGAGCCTGGCCAGCAAGATGGAGGAAAGCTGTCGGTGTCCCCTACTCCAGCAGGCCTTGTGCCACTCTGCCAGGCGACTTGGCTGTGACAAGACCTGGTTACCAGCCACATCTCCAACCAGCCCCTGGGAACCCCTGACCACGCCCCCTGCCGTCATTCCACGCTTGGCCAGAGCCCTCCACCCTGCTTCTCCCGCCTCGCCGGCCACCCGCCCCTGCAGCCCATTCTCCACACAGCAGCTGGAGAGACCTTGTGGAAACATAAATCATGTCTGCCCCTCTCCTGCTCACAACCCTCTGTGGCGCCCCAGGGCTCTCGGAGCTAGTCCCAGCCCAGACCACGAGGACCGTCTGATGAGGGCACCGCCTGCACACTGGCCTCAAGGTCCTGCCACCTTGCACACTACAGCGGCTCGTCATTTTGACCTACTTAGGGTTCCTCGAATGGGCCTGGCTGGCTCGGGGCTTGCCGCTTCACTCATGCGAGTCACTCTCAGGTGTGGCCACCCCACCCCTTCTTGCCTGCACCAGCATGGGTGACACAGCTCTCTCCTAGCCCATAAGGCCGCCCCATGAGACTGGGAGTGCCTCAGGGTGGGGTCTCGGGGCAGGTCAGTGCAACCGGAAGCTGAGCCAAAGGCCCTGGCGAAGAGTGGCCCTCCCGCGTGGCCTCCCAGCACTCCTGGGGCCACGACCCACGGGACATGGACCCAGGACAGGCTCTCACCAGGCGTGCCTCGGGTCAGCCTCGAAGCCTGGTCTGCCCTGGTGCACTCCTCACCCCTACACCTGCAGGGCATCCTGGGCCACTTGTGCAGCTGCATGTGGGGTGCCGCCCTTTCCCCCAGCATCCCACTCCCTTCACAGAGCAGGGCCAGAGGCCCCAGGTGCCACAACAGGCAAGTGCGCCAGGGCAGGTGGCCAGCTCTGCAGGAGTATGGTCCCATTTCTTCAGGGACTTCTTGGGCCTCTGGGGTGGCGGTGTGGAGAGGGGTGACACTCAGGATGACAGATCAGCCAGGAAAGCGGCCTGTGGCCCCAGCCCCAACCCACTGTCCCTCAGACCAGCCTATGAGTACTGATGTCTCTCCCACCCATACAGCTTCCCGCAGGGTGAGGCTGTAAGGGTGGCCCTGGGTTTTCTGGCCGAGCTCTCAGCACCTGCCTAGCCCCCTCTGAGCAGGGTGTCGGGGGGGAAGCCCGGCCCCGAGTGTATGGCCATGAATCAGCTAGTAAGTGGTTGGCAACGTTTATTGAGAAGTGGGGTGAGAGGGGAAGCCCCGGCAGCCCACTGCGCCGGCGCCTGTAGGCTGGCCCAGAAGCAGGGCCTGGGGTGGGGCCGCTCGGGCCAGGGCCTATAAGGCCTGGCAGGTGCCTGGGCCAGGGGTGGCCCAGCTCAGAGGAGCTGGAGGTGGAAGCAAGGCTTTGGCCGTGCCAGCTCCGGGCCTCGAGCACACTAGATGGTTGAGGCTGGTGCTGCCCATGGTGTGAGGAGTGCCCCCAGAGCTCAGGCCTCCAGGCCTGGGGCATCCCCTGGCAAGTACATGGGCTTGATATGCGCCCAGCTGTGTGCCTGCTCATCTGCCCAGGCCAGCAGCTCAGCTGAGCGGTGCAGGAAAACCAGGAGCAGCGTGTGCACATCGCCCTCAGCCGAGTGGGCTGCACTCGGCTCGGCCTGGAAGTAGCGGTGGAAGAGGCTGCCCAGGCTATAGCCCTGGCGGCCCTGGGCCCGGGTGCCGTGGCTGTGGGCCCGGTCCAGGCCCCGCAGTGCTGGCAGCGTGTCCAGGCAGATGGTGTCCCGGGGCAGGTGGGCACCCAGGCGAAGCAGCTCCGCGCACAGCAGGGGGAAGTCATAATCGAAGCCGTTGTGGGCCACAAGGCAGATGGGGCCCGCCTGGCGGCTCAGGAAGGCCTCCAGAGTCCGCACCACGGCATCGTCGAAGCCAGCCTTCCGGCACTGCATCAATCCCTCGCAACTCAGACCGGTGATCTCACTGGCCTTGGCAGTAAAGGGGCGCGTTGGGCACATGCACAGCGTGAGCTTGTCCAGAACCCGGGGCAGCACTAGGGCGCCAGTCTCGTCATGCTCTGGGTTCTCCAGGGAGGAGCGGTGGACAGCAAACAGGGACAGCTCAGCGATCTCGGGTTCCATGCTGGGCAGCCCAGTGGCTTCCAGGTCCAGGAAGACAAAGGTCTCGGCCCGGGGTGCCTCAGACATGGTGATGTTCCCGCGAGGATAGCGAGGCCTCGAGCTGCCAAAGCAAGAGGCATAACCCCGAGGGCTGAGTAGGCACACCTGCCTGGGCCCTGGGGCCACAGCCCTCTGGCCAAAGTGCTGAGCCCTCTGGGCCCCACTGTCTGCCACCGCCACAACTCCTGGGACTCCTGGCTCTCGAGCCCATGTCCGAGGAGACTTCAAAGGAGCTTCCAGGACTGGGACCACGTGAGCAGGGCCCACCACTTCTGTCCAGGATGGTCTTCCTCGCCCCCTCCATTCTTCCTGCTCCCTCCCTAGCCGGGCCACTCTGGCTACCCAACAAAGAGCATAAGGAAGGCCTTGGCATCCTCTGCCTCCTGCCTCGAGTCACAGGCCCATCAGGGACGTGGGAGGCAGGTGCAGCCCAGGGATAGCAGTGCGGTGGGGCCGTCCCTTCACCGAGATGCCTGGGCCGGGAGCCTCAGGCGTAGCACCCAAGGTCTCTGCTGGGCACCCAAAGTGCTTCCCCAGCCTTCTCCCATATACACAGAGGCAGGCCAGACGGCCTCTGCTTGCCTGGGAGCTGGCGGCGGCTGCCGGGCTAACCCCCATGTGGGCTTACCTGGGGCAGATGCTGGCTGGCTTCCTGTGCTGTTGCCACCTGTCTGCACGCAGGCTGCTCCAGGGGCCTTTAATCCGCGGTGAGGCCCGCCCCCAGCAGCCTGTTGGGCAACAGAAGCCTGAGGCCGCAGGACCTGTGCAGCCGGCTCCTCGCCACCCCCTCGCCAGCTCACAGCCGCTGGGACACACACCCTGCGCTGACTGGCTGGAGGCAGGCTCCGGCGGCATGCGGCTCCGAGGAGGTCCTGCCGGGCACCAGGAAGAAGCCAGGGAGGTGAGAGATGGGAGCCGCAGTCCTCCACCCAGCCCGCCTCCAAGTCTGACGGGCCCTGCCGTGGCTGCCAGGCTCAGGGTCAACACCCAGCCACATGCTAGATGTGTCACACAAAGGCAACAGGTTCCATGAGCAAGCCTTGGTTTCCTGGCCAGTGGCGATTCAGTGGCCCTCTTGGGGCTGAAGTGGACCCAGGAGCACGAGCTGGCACCTGCATATGCCACCCTCAGCCCCCGAAGGAAAGGAGCGCTCTCTCCGAATGCAGGCTATGTCATGGCCTAATGATCCACAAGGTCTAATGAACGCTCAGTGGAGGCTGCCGGGGAAGGGAGGGAGGCGAGGCCAGTGGGGCAGTCTCCGCCGGGTCCAGAGAGGTGTGGGGTACAGGCAGGGAGACTCCAGGTGCCGGTGAAGGGCACATCTACATGGGAGGGTGGCTAGGTCCTGCCTGGTCCAGGAAGCAGTGGCACCCCAAGGACCTCATTCCTGAGCAAGAGGCACTGGCCCTTGGTGGGGGTGCGTTGTAGGGCCAGCCCCTGCTGGGGCACAGGGAAGTGACCAAGATGAGTCCCTTTGCCTGTAAAGCAGGTGGTATGCCTGGCCCATGCTGACACAGTGGTGATCTGGGGGACACTCCAGGCCCTTGGGCAGGAGACCCTGGCTCCCAGCTCCTGCGGCCTTGCCTGCAGCACCCACAGGGAACCTGGGGAAGCAAGGGGGACGGTGCTGGAGCAGGGCAGGGCGGCGGCAGGTGGGACAATGGGCTGAGGGAGGCAGAGGCCTCACCAGTTGTGCCTGTTCCCCATGGTGCTTCCGGGGAGGGAGGTGGCTGTGACAGGCACACTGTTCAGGGAGATATTGGGTCACCTGGGAAGCCAGAGGGGCCGCTTCCTGGACAACCAGTCAGGTCACCATCAAGAATTCCCCAACCTGATGGCACGTGCCCTGGGAAGGGCGGGAGAGAGGACACAGGTGTCCTGCGCTGGATCTCAGGGGTTTTGAGGGGGGACTGCTGAGGGATGGGTCTCAAGTGGGAGCGTAAGGCTGGCCAGGGGGAGGTGGCAGGGGTCTGTTCACACATAGCAGGCAGCAGCAGGGAGGAACAGGAACAACAGGGAGTGGGCACGGCCAGCCCAGGACAGGAGGGCCACAGCGGCCTCGCTCTGGAACTCCCAGGCAGCATGGGCCAGGGGAAGGAGGGGCAGTGTGGAGCTGCTAGGCAAAAAGAGGCTGGAGGCAGCTTTCAGACTCAAGGTTTCCTGTGTCCAGGTCACACTCCCCCGCCCTTCTGATGCAATGAGGGCTGCTGCCTGGCGGACCCGCAGAGGCTGCGGCTGCGGCTGCTGCTCCTGCCCGGCTGGGCCTCCTGCCGCTTTGGGCTCAGCCTCCCGGAGGATGTCCTGCTCCCAGACTACCCTGCGCCTTTGTGCAGGCTGTTGGTGAAGGCGTTGTACTTCTGTGTCAGTTCGTCCATTTTGGTGGCTACAGAGGAAAGAAAACACACGAACAGCAGAGTGAGTCTGGCGTTGCATGGCCTGGAAGAAGCAGGCAATCTGCCTGGGGTCGCCCCCGCCCCACCAAGCCATGGCTCTTCTCGGCTGAGTCTCTTCAGGCCCTGGGCCTGCCAGGGCAGCAGGGACCTGGGGGCTGCTCAGGGCCCCATTGTGGGCGCCAAGACCCAGGCCAGGGTCTGCAGGCCCAGCTGTGCCCCTGCCCACTTGCCCACTGCCCCAGAGCCCAGGGTGGGGGCGGGGGTCCGTAGACATATGCGGCAAGGAGCCAGGGCTGTTCTGGTCATGTTGATGTGTTCAGTTTTAATAGACAAACAGCATGTGCACATGGCAGCACCTCCAGGGACGCCTGCCAGCATCAGCTGAAGAGTACCAGTCCCTGCTGCCCAACTCACCCAGAGGCGACTGGGATGCCTGCTGCCCAGCTTTCTTGTGGGAGGAGTGGGAGCCATGCTGCCACAACATGCCTCTACCTCATGGTACCTGCTATAGGTGATGACTGTCAGGGTGACATGTGGGGCTTTGTTCACCCCGTTTCCTGCCTCGAGAGGGATGTTCTTCCTTTGCATTTTCCCAGAGGCGGTGCCTTCACTTAAATACGCTTCTCCTTCCTCTTCCACCAACCTGACCCCCATTCCTGGCTTGTCCTCAGGAAGAGGACGTGACCCCTCCCCCGCCCAGCCTGTCCTCTCTCCTTCCACAGTCCCGCTCTACCTTTCACATGCCAAAGTCATGAACATTGACACCAGATGCTGTGACACCCCGAACCTGTCATCCTCTGCCCATCCCGACAGTGACTCTGAAGCTCAGGAACTGCGGGGTGTGCCTGGCAGTGATGCCGAGTGGCTGGGCTCCTCCTTGTGGAGCCCTGAGATGCTCCCAGGGGACCCTCCGTACTCGCCAATACCCCTGGCTGTGCTCTGTGGAGGGGCATCTGTGGTACCTCGCATTTCTGCAGACTGTGTCTTCCTAGTTCTGGACTGCCTCTGGGCGGCACCTGCCTTCATCGAACCCTCCAGACACGTCCTGGGGTCCGGCTGCCTTGTCCTCACACCCACCGCGTAGCTCCTGAGGCCATGGCCTTTCTCTCTGGAAACAGGGCCCCTAGGACTCTGGATGGCAGGACACTGGATCCCAGGACGTGTCCTTTAGGTTCCAGCTGCCCTGCTCCAGAATCTCAAGGCTCGCCCGGCTTGGCTCTGCCTGCCCATCACTTGCTGAGAACCTCTGCGTTCTGTATCCTTCCCTCTTTCCCTGAGGACTGTCGTCCACTGGGACTGGACCTCTGCGTCACGTGTCTGTGTGCTCATCTTTCTGTCTCTCTCTGTTTTGAGATGCGCCACCTCCTCTTGTCTTCTCGTCTTTCCCCAGCTGGGTTGGCACAGTTGTCCAGGTTGAGACAGGAGATAGCTAGAGAAAGGCTAGGCAGACAGATAGTGGAGTCCTCTGGGAACAATGCAGTGAACTCCCGGCAGGCCTCTCAGGCTCAGCGTTGGTAAACAAGCTCCCTGCAAGCCTCTCAAGCTAGAGCTTAGGTACTCACTGCTGGGATTGAAAAGCAACCAATCAGCTCACCATGAGGTCCCTACCTTAATACTGACCAATCAGAACAGCTATAGCTCACAGCTAGTGCTAGCCAATCAACTTGGACTTAGGGCTATATAAGCACCAGGTTTTCGGCCGAGATAGGCAACCCCTTCGGGCACCTCCCACTGTGGGAACTTTTCAGTCCTCAATAAATCCTGCTTTCTCATTTTCCGGCTGTCCGTGTCCCTCATTCTTTCTGGGCATGAGACAAGAACCTCGACCCTGAAGAGCTGCAGAAGATCGTCAGAGTCGAAAAGCCATGCACCACAGAGGCTGGCTTGCCAGCCAAGGGAGCCAGCTGAACCAGGAGAGAAGAAGGCGAGACTCCAAAGTTGAGACACCCAGGGGGCTAGGCTTGCCAGCCCACCAAAACAGCAACACTCTCAGAGCTTGGCTTGCCAGTCCATTAGAGCCAACACCCTGGGGGCTAGGTTTGCCAGCCCCCCCCCAATCGCAACACTCAGGGCTTGGCTTGCCAGCCCATTAGAGCTGACATTTGTGGGGCTAGGCTTACCAGCCCCTCCACAACCCTCTAGGGCTTGGCTGGCTGACCCATTAAGCTGAAACTCTTGAAGCCCAGGCTGAGCTGAAAAATCCACATCACAGGCACTCCTGGACGTCACACCAAGTGTGTTCAGTCACAGGTTTGTTGGAAAGTTTATTAGGCCAGGTTTCCTGTGCACCCAGGCCCTTCATCTCTCTTCCACAGTGCTGGTTCTCGTCCCCAGCCCTGGAGAGCCGCCGGGCCTGGGGAGGGAGTCCTGGATAGCTGGCACACTGCTCTGCCGTGGTGGAGTTTGCTGCGGGGTCTGTCCTGGGAGGAGGGCTTGGAGAAGGAGTTCTGTGGGGGGCAGGGCGGGTTGACGGAAAGACTCGGCTTCGGGGGAAAGCAGAAGACAGATACCCCTCACAAGATGGACCCTCCAAGGCCAGGAAGAGGTGGGCCTCACCTGCGCTGCCACCAGCCATGTCAGGAGCCTGAACTAGCTCACCCCTTTCTGTGGGCATGTCTAGAGCCTAAGAATTCACCTCAAACCAAATAGGGAGCTACATGATAATGGCTGTGTCAGGAGCCCCGCAAGAAACTGACGCCCTGCAGCCCCACTCCCCTCATGTCTCTCTGGACTCCACGGGGGCCACAGGCTGAAGAGTGAGCAGACATCCCCCTGCACCCACAGCACCACCTGGTCCACACAGCCTGGATGTGAAGGGTGGTCTCTAGAGAGTAAGCCCTGCACCCCTCCTGTGGTGTCACAGGCCCGGGTGAGACGGCACACTGGCAGAAACACTCACAATCACTGTCATCACAATGGCAGCACAGATGATAAGCAGATTATTAGCAGCAATTACATGCACTGGGGTGAGAGTCACAGCAACAGCGGTGATGAGAACACATGCTAGAATATACTCCAAAGTGCCAGATTCTGCTGCAGTTCAAGCAGCAGGAAGGGCCTCCTGGGTGCCCATGTCGTCTGGCAGGTATGTGCCAAGGCCAGAACAGTGAGGAGGCCAGCTGCCAGAGGACACGGGCTCCCAAGGAAGAGCTCTGAGGCTATGTGGCTTAAAGCACTACTTGGGGGCCAGGCAGTAGAAAACATGGATGGACAAAGGCTACAGTTGCTGCTGCCGGAGACAGTGGGGGACAGTTGGGCAAACGACATACTGACCAAAAATGTAGTGGCACCAGTCACTACTCATGGCAGCCTTGACCTCCTGGGCTCAGGCAATCCTTCCATATCAGCCAGCTTCCCAAGTGGCTGGGATTACAGGCATGTGCCACCACGCCTGGCTAATTTCTTAATTTTTTTGTAGAGATGTGGTCATGCTATGTTGCCCAGGCTGATCTTGACCTCCTGGCCTCAAGCAATCCTCCCACCTTAGCCTCCCAAAGTGCTGGAATTACAGGCATGAGCCACCACACCCAGCCCTTGTTGTTTCTTTAACTCGATTTTTAAAGTTATTTTCTCAGTAGCTGCCCTTACAATTATAGTTAAGACAGTCAAGTTAATTTCAATAGTCTACAAAAGCTTCTCTCTGATATGGCTTCATTCCTTCTTTGCCCTACTGTTTTTAGAGTAATGACATCTTTATATATTGCATGCCCATCAATATCGATTTCTAATTATTGCTTTATGCAATTGCATTTTCAATTAGATAGAAGAAATAAAAGAAGAATGGAAGATCCAATAAGATCTAAGAATTATAGCAAACAAAGAACAAAATAGCAGGCATAAATCCTACCTCATCAGTAATGGCACTAAATATAAATAGATTCAACAACCCAATCAAAAGAGCTTGGCAGAATAGATAAAACAGTCTGCCAGTCCCTCAAAAATTAAACATGGAGTCACCATATGACCCGGCAATTCCATTCTTAGGTATAGACCCAAGGGCACTGAAAATATACATTCAAAGACTTGTACACAATGTTCATAGCAGCACTATTTATAACAGCCAAACAACAGAAACAACCCACAGGTCTACCAACAGGTAAACGGATATGCTCAGTGAACAAAGCCAGATGTACAAGGTCACACATTGTGTGACTCCGGTTGCAGGAAATGTCCAGCACAGGCAAATCCATACAAATAGACAGTGGTTGCCAGGAGCTGGGGCTCAGCGGGAGTGGGAGGCTTTTCAGGGGCTGATGACAATGTTCTGTACTCAACTCTGTGAGTATCCTACAAACCAAAGGTGAATTCCATGTTATGTGACTTAGAGCTCAAGAGAGCCCGTTATTTAAAATAAGAGCATTAGCTGGGCGTGGTAGCACGTGCCTGTAGTTCCAGCTCCTTGGAAGGCTGAGGTGGAAGGATTGCCGGAGCCCAGCAGGCCGAGGCTGCGGTGGCCAGGAACGTGCCACTGCACTCCAGTTTGGGCAACAGAGTGAGACTCCAACTCAAAAAAATAATAATAATAAATAAGAGCAAGGTAGGAAAGCTGGCTTTACTTCCTTCTTTGGGTGCATTTTGCCGTTTACCTTCTAACCTTCCAAAGTGTGGCATCAGTGCAAGGATAAGGCAGAACGGAGAGCCCAGAAAGCCTCACATCTGTGAACACTTACTGCCTAACAGAGGTGATGGTCTTGTAGGTGAAGGGGGAAGAGTGATTTCCATTCAGAGGTGCTAGGACAAAGGCGCATGCACACAGAAGAGAAGGAAATTGGTCCTCACCTCTCACCGTGTGCAAGGAACAACTCTGGGAAGGCTGCTGACCTAACCTAGAAGGCACTACTTACTCTAAAGCTCCTGGAAGGTGGCGTGGGAGGACAGCTTCAGGATGGCGGAGAAGCAGAGTATTGTTCCTAAGACACAGAGGCATAGACCAGCAAGAAATGGGGGCTACATTTGACTACATTTCCATTACAAGCTATTATTGCACAGCAAAAGATTCCACGAAAGGTACAAAGATCAGCTACACAGTAAAAGAAGATCCATGAGGTCCATTGAGCCCCCGAGACCTATATGAATAGAAGGGCTGCCATCAACAAGGAATGAAGCAACTCTAGCATGCCTGGGGGAAGCCCTGATTCTAGAAGGTTCTAGCAACAGTGCGTGGCAGGAGCCACAAGACGCAGCCTGGCCCATGCTCCGAGTGGCACAGTGTGACCGAGACAGCCAGCCCCATTCTCGCATGCATCCCCTATGGCTGCACTCCCGGGACAGCGGCAGAGGTGAGTAATAGGGGCCATGGGGCCCACAAGCCTTAGAGTTACTGTCTGGCCCTTTCCAGAAAAGGAGTGCTGACCTGTGCCACGTGGCCATGACCACGAGTACATTTTAAATGCACATGCCATAGGTGAGTGCCATGAAGAAGTCCTTCTCACCAATTCAGTGACACAGAGATGGGGGGGCGGGAAGGGGCACACAGGAGGTGCAAGCCATCTTCTATTTTTCCGCCTGGGTGGCAGTGGCACAAATATTCACTCTGACCTCACCTGAGCTGGAGTGAGGGGGGCTGGACATGGCACAGGGAATAGCAAACCAGTTCACGCTGACAGCCCTCCAAGCTGAGACTCCACCCAAAACGCTATCTTTTTACTTTTAAAAACGTTCCTAGTGTAGCTTTCCACAATAAAAACCACTTATTCAGAAAAGGTGGAATGAAAATGAAGGAGGAGATGGCTGCAGCCTAATAGCCTGGCCTCAGGGGTGCTGATGAGCCTGGCACCCAACACGACTTCAGGACGTCTGTTCTAAGGACGGACTCAAAAGGAAGAAAGACTTGATGTCTAACACGTGCACCGTGTCCCTTGTTAAAAGACTGACGGTCAAGGAAAGACAGAATCCAAGGGACACATGCTCACTGGAGAATGTCTGAAGACATGAGGCCAAGGAAACAGGGAACAGACTGAACAACACTGAGGAAGTCAAGAGGCACATTTGGCTCACTTCCAGCAGGGCTTTCTTCTGCATTTGTTTCCTTTAGAGAGATGAGATCACACGGTATATTTCTTTGCTTTGCTTTGCTTTTTTGAGTCGGGGTCTCACTCTGTCACCGGCTGGAGGATAGTGGCATGACCATGGATCACCATAGCCTCCACCTCCTGGGCTCAGGCGATCCTTCCACCTCAGCCTCCCGAGTACCTGGGACTACAGGCACATGCCACTGTGCCTGGTTAATTTTTGCATTTTTTTGTAGATGAGGTCTCACTGTGTTACCCAGGTTGGTCTCAAACTCATGGGCTGAAGCCATCCTCCCGCCTCAGCCTCTCAAAGTGCTAGGATTACAGGTATGAGCTACCACGCCTGGCCTATATTTCATTTCTGAACCTGCATTTTCCCTTTAACATTCTCTAATACATGTTTCCTCATGTCTTTAAACAATGGAGCCAATCTCACCACATGGAGTCACCATCATTTACACAAGTACTACCTGATGTTAAACTTTAAACTGTTTTCATTTCTTCACTATTGCAAGTCCTGCAACATCATTATGTATAATAGTAAAAACTGGAAATGACCTATAGGTTCAGTAATAGAAAATGTTAATTAAGCAAATTATAGTAAATGCCTGAATGAAATTGTATTTGGCAATTAAAAATGTAACTTAGGGGCCAGGTGTGGTGGCTCACACATATAATCCCAGTACTTTGGGAGGCCAAGGTGGGAGGACTGCTTGAACCCAGGAGTTTGAGACCAGCCTGGGCAACGGAGTGACACCTCATCTCTACAAAAAATTTTCAAAAAATTAATGGGGTGTGGTGGTGCACACCTGTAGTCCCAGCTACTTGGGAGGCTGAGATGGGAAGACTGCTTGAGCCCAGGAGTTAGAGGCTGCAGTGAGCTAGAACTGTGCTACTGCACTCTAGCCTGGGCGACAGGGTCAGATCCTGTCTCTTCTCAAAAAAAATTACTTAGGGAAAATTCTTATAATGAGGACAAAAAGGAAAGGACGTAGCATAAAACTGTATCCATATTATGATTACAGTTAAAATAAAAATGATTTTGAAAATAGTAAAAGGAAAGAGACGGAGGGAAATAGACTAAAGCCGGCCACCTCTGGGCAGCTAGTGTCATCTTTGTTTTAACTTCTATGCGTCATCTGGTTAGCCCAGCTTGCTGTTTTTATTTTATAATCCATTGGAAGCACTTTTTCAAGGGAAGGAAGACATGCATTAGAAAATGAACAAAGAAAGAAGGGACGGTCCCCACATGCTCCCCAAATGCTGGTGGAGCACAGAAAAGGGAGCCCACACATGAGGCAGGCCCCAGGCCCAGGGGCCGGCGGCCACATACCTAGACTCATCATGGAGCTGCTGCCACCCCAGCAGATCAGGTCACCCTGCTGCTTCTTCGTCATCTCCATAGCTTTCCCAGAAGTGTCAGTGACTTCCTCGACTGCTTTCAACACCTGAGGAGCGAGGGAGTGCGTGGGCATTAATACTGCTGTTCTGACTGGAGACAGTGTCTCCTGCTTTCCACCCAAGTTCACACAGAGCATGTGGCATTCGGGACGGTCAAGGACAAGGGCCAGAACACCCAGCTGGAGAGTCAGATCAGAGTTCTCAAATCTAAGTCCCCTTCCTCCTGGCCCAGCAGGGACACCACAGCATCATACTGTCCTGGCAACCTTCAATGCCTAGTGACGTGCTAGCCAGCACTGCGAGTCCTCCCAGCCCAAGTAAAGCAAATGGCAGGGTGGGACAGTAAGTGTCCCAGAAGAAAGGGCAGAAGAGGCCTGGGCTCTCACCATCCCTGCTGAGGGTCTCAGAAGGCTGGCCAGCGGCTGGGAAGTCTTGGAGCCTCTTTGTAAGACCAAAACAAACACCGTGGATGCCTAGGCCAAGGTCAGGGTTCCACATCCAGCAACCATATTCAGTAGCCATCAGAACTAGAGCCAGCCTTCTGGGGGCCCTGGGGTTCTGAAACATGGTGCCAGGAAAGCAGCAGGCATTGCTTTGGGGGCTAGCAGTGAGAGTGCTGCTCCTGCAGCCTGGGCTGGCTCACGGGCACGGCCAGGCCAGCATGTGTGACTGCCTGGAACAGTTCTGGGTCATACACGGGAATGAGTGTACCTTGATGTGCTTGGGCATAACGTAAAAACAAAGACCCATACAGGGGTGGAAGCTGGAGGCTGGGCCCAGGGTCTCCCGCTGTGAGGCCAGCTGGGGCCCACGGGTGTTGGCTTAGTGCATCCCCACAGAGGTGTGCTGGTTCTTGGGGGTACTCACATCAGATCTCATCCCCTCCACTACACGGGTGCCCTCCCTCCATGCCACCAGGAGAGATGTCTGCCCCAGCCCCCCAAAGGTCCCAAGCCCAGAGCCTAGAGCCCTGCCATGCCACTGACTTGCAGCAAGTGCAAAGAGTGAGCTCTCAGTTGAGGAGGGGAGGGGAGGATGAGTCTTACCTGGCTGCAGGAAGCCAGAGTCTGGTACACGGCCTGGACGATGGGACCGCACGGGTGGAGGCTGGAGCCTGGGCGCTGGCAGCACTCACCCAGCTCGTTGTCATAGACTTGGAGGAAAGCCAGGATGAGCTGGTGGAAGTCGGAGGTGACCAGGCGCAGCTTCTGGTCTAGGGTGCTAGTGTCGGCCGTGCCCACAGCGGCCCCCTGCTTGTGCTGTACAAGGCACTGCAAAGCCAGAGGTGAGAGTCCCTCGAGGCTGCCCCGCCAGGCTAGCCCACACCACAGCAAGCTCTCACTTTAGACTGCTCAGATGGGGTTGGGGAAGCTTCCAGAAACCAGGAGCCAGAGTTGACAACAGATTGAGTCAGCTGACTGCAAGACCTTCGGGCTTCTGGCCTCGGTCCTGCTACTTAGGGGCATAGGCCTTGATCTCCTCCACAATCGAATAAAGAGGGTGGTCCAGGGCTGCCAGGAGGGCTGAGTGCAACAGGGCCCAGAAAAGCACAGACCAGGCCTGGCAAGGCCTGACCAAAGGACGATCTTCTCCGTTCTCAGGACAGTTTCCTAGCTTCCACGCCTGCCTCTCCCCTTCATGTGGACTGAGTGCCCATGGCATTCAACCTGTCAGGCCCTACCTTGCTTAAGCCTCCCATGCTGGGGAAGGTGACGTCACTTGCCCAGGACATAAAGTGGGGCCTTGTGTCCAGCCCCAACCCCAGAGCTAGGTCCCTCACCTCAACCCTGAGCGCCTGCAGCTTGGCAGCACTCTCCTGCAACTGCCTGGCCAGCTCTACCACCTTCTCCTCCTCGGACTTGACAGAGGGGCTGGCCCTGTGGGGAGAGAAGGGAGACACTCCCAGCTTGCTGCCGCCATGGGTGTCTGAGGGAACAGAAGCAGGCAGGGCTGGAGCCAGGACGCGTACCACTGCCAGTCATCATTCGGCTTGTCCAGGAGGAGCTGCATGTCCAGGGCCCACGGGTCACACTCGGGTGTCAGCAGTGTCTGCAGCTGTGGACTGGAGAAGAGCTCCTCCAGCAAGGCCCTGTTCTTCTCCCTGGTGTCCTCGAAGTGCTCCTTCAGGCTACAGAGGCGGCCCCAGGGCCACGTGGTCACAGGCCGGAGCACCAGACCAACAGGCCCTTAATTCCTCACGGAAGCCCCACGAGGCAAAACAAGAGCAGGCGGAGGGGCCGGGAGGAGGGCCCCCCCCATTTGGCACCTCCCAGACCATCTGTTCTGGCTCCCCTAAGAAGCCCACCTGCTCACAGGGGTGCCACAGGCGCCCACCCTCCTCCAACGTGCCAGTCTGTCTTCTCTGGGGTCCACGCCATACCTTCAAACTCCTGCCCGGCCTGGCACCCTCAGGACACAGCACCCTTTTCCCATACACTGCCTGGCCGGATCCCTGAGAGGGGTGTCCTGTCCTGGCTGGCACTCCCAGCTGGTGATGCGCCCCCAGCCTCCAGCTCCCACCAGCTCCAGATCCGGGACCAAAAAGAGTCATCAAGGGCACCCTTCTGGGCCCCCAGACTTTACCTTGGGCAGTTGGAGCATCCGATGGTCAGGCTCCGAGCTGTGTCTAACAACTGGTCCATGAAGTGCAGCTGCTTCCAGGCGCAGGCACTGCCCTGGGCAAGGAGGGCCACACGCAGTCACTGGTGAGACCAAAGCCAGGACACAGCCAGCTGTTCTGGCTGCCCCTGCCCTCACATGCCACCCCTGCTGGGGGCCACTGGAAGGCGGGGCCCAGCTTTTCCTGTCCCTCTCCTGCAATGGCTTGGACTAGTAAGTCCTCCCCACCTCGGGCCCACTGACGCCTGGGTCCACACTCCAGATCCTGACAAGGACAACAGAAACATCAGAGTGTATGTGTGTCACACAGCCAACAGCACAGCCTGCTGGGCATGTGACACGCAGGGAGTTTGCTGAGGCACAGCACAGCCTGCAGAGATCTAATGGTGGCCCATTCCTTGGACACCTCCAGGACAAGGCCCATTCTCAGCAGCTCACTCTCCCAGTCGGGAATGGCCGAAGTTGACACGACAGGGCTGCAGAGATGGCCTGCTTTACACCCAGCGGACCAGAGCTCCAGTCTGGAGAGCCCTGGGCTCCCCGAACAGCAGCCACTTAGGGGCTCACTTAGCCCTCCAGCTGCACAGAAAGTGAGTGGGATTTCAGGGAGAACTGCCGACCAGGAGCACTAAGGCTCCAGGAAGCACAGCTTGCTCCTTTTCTGGGAAGAGGGAGGCTCGTTGCCAACCTCCAGACCCAAAGACTCCCAACAGCGCACTGGGCCAGTCTCCCAGCTCTGCACAGCCTGACCACCCCCAAACCATGCGCTTCAACGGGGGAATTTCGTGGTGTGTGAGATGCCACCAGGAACTACTCTTGATATCCACTTCAGCCCATGGCCTCAGCACCGACTTGCTGTGGGAACACTTCTTGGAGGCTTTGAGTTAGGCTGCCAGTGTGGCTGGCTGAGCAAGTCCTTTTTGGTGTGTCCCTCGGAATTGTGTGGCAGACGTGGACAATGACAGGTAAAACTGACAACAATGCCAACAATGTAGAGACTGGGCATCACCGGTCACTGTGATGTCAAACTGCTAGGGCCAGAACGCCAGCTGCAGGGCGGTGGAGGGAGGGGGTCTGCGAGGAGCACGGATGTGAGAGGCCCAGGGCACTAAGGGCAGCGGCAACAGCGGGTGGGCTGACCACCTGCATGGCGGTGCTGCCCATGATCATGTTCTCGAAGGTGACCTGGGAGAAGCAGGCCGCCACCTTCCTGCAGCACTGGATGTGCCTATCTGGACATTTCATGGGAGGGGAACCTACATCATGTGGCCTTGTGTGACCAGTTGCCTTCACTGAATACGATGCTGCCAAGGAACACCCATGCCGTAGCCTCCACCCAGCGTTTCTTCTTCATGATTGCCAGTTAGCATGTCCACACACTAGTCTACAGACATGTGGGTCATGTCCACTCTGGCTATTCTGAATCGTATTTCTAGGAACATGCAGGTGTATGTGCGTGTGCACATGTTTTCAGGCATTCTGGGTGGATTTCTAGGTGTGGGCTTGCTGGGTCATGTGGTTCCTCTCTGGCTAACCTTTTGAGGAGCTGCCAGACTTCTCCCCAGCGACTGTGCCATGTGACTTCCCACGGCGGTGTGGGGAGCTCTGGCTTCTCCTCATCCTGGCCTGTGCTGGTTATGACCCCTCTTCATCCTAGCCACCCTTGTGGCTGGGAGGTGGGGTCTCTTGGTGGCTTTGGTCTGCATTTCCTGATGACAGTGGTGTTGACCACCCTTGCATGTGCTTAGTGGCCATGGGCATGTCTTTCATCAGACCCTTTGCCCATTGTTTGATCAGGGTCTTTGGCTTTTTCTTATTGGTTGGGAAGGTTCTAACAGATGCTGGACACGTGTTTCCTGTCAGCTATCTGACTTACAGTTACTCTCTCCCATTCTGTAGGCTGTCCCTTCGCTTTCTTGCTGGTGTCTTTTGGCACACCAAAGTGTCTAATTTTAAAGAAGTCTGCCGGGCTCGGTGGCTCAGCCTGTAATCCCGCACCTTTGGGAGGCTGAGGTGAGTGGATCGCCTGAGCCCGCGGGTTCGAGACCCGCCTGGGCAGTGAGACCTCATCTCCACAATAAATCAAAAAATCAGCCGGGCGTGGTAGCGCATGCTTATAATTCCGGATACATGGAAGGTTGAGGCGGAAGGATTGCCGGAGCCCAGGTCGAGGCTGCGGTGGCCGGGAGCGGCCGCTGCGCTCCGGTCTGGGTGACAGAGTGAGACTCCAACTCAAAAAAAAAAAAAAAAAAGAAGCCCAGTTGATCTGCTTTTTCCTTTTGCTGCTTGTGTTTGTAGTGTCAAAATGATGACTATCAAGAACAACATTATGAACCCATGGACTTAAGCACACATGAAGGGTCTCAGCGCATGGCAGCCCCTGTGCATAGGGTGCCAGTGCTGGCCCCTCTGCAGCCAGTGAGGGTTTCCATGGCCAACTGGTTCCTGCATCTCTCAGATGTCACCCTAAGTCTTGGATGGCTACTGCTCTCTGCTGTGACATGTTTCTGGCTTGACACATATATTTTCTGCCCCAGGCCTGCACTGCAAATGGAATGTCATTGCACTAGACCTTTTCAGGGGACAAGGTGAGGAAATGCATACATACACACACGGACACGCACAAGTACATATATGAGGGGAAGACCCCAAAAAAACAGAATTCTTTTTTGGAGGGTGTGCCGCTTGTAGTGCAGGCTTCCTCCACTAGGTAAGTGTTCTAGGAACCCATCAGCATCAGTGTGTACCAGCTAGTGTTGTTGTGAGAGGCTGCGTTCAGCTTCAGTGAATTTTTTTTTTTGAGATTCTTTTCAGTGAGTTTGCCCTTTTCTTTCTTTCTTTTTTTTTTTTTTGAGTTGGAGTCTCACTCTGTCACCCAGACTGGAGTGCAGCGGCCACTCCCGGCCACCGCAGCCTCGCCCTGCTGGGCTCCGGCGATCCTTCTGCCGCAGCCTTCCAAGTAACTGGAACTACAGGCACGTGCTACCACACCCAGCTAATTTTCTGATTTATTGTAGCGATGAGGTCTCATCAAGTTGCCCAGGTGGGTCTCGAACCCGCGGGCTCAGGCAATCCACTCACCTCGGCCTCCCAAGGCGTGGGATTACAGGCTGAGCCACCGAGCCCGGCTGACCTTGCCCTTTTCATGATGGGTGATTTACGAGTGCACCTGCCCACACCGTACTGAGGGTTAAGCAGTTTTTGACCAAAATCAACATGACCTCCATGCCCTACCTTCCCTATTCACCCGATCACACCCTGAGCAACATTTTTTTATTTTCTCCCCGATGATAAAAGCCCTCAAAGGGCAATGTGGAAGAGGTGAAACAAAAAATGGCAGAAGCACTAAAAGGCATCTAAATTACAAGCTCAAAACTGTTTTGAGCAGTGGAAAAAGCATCGCAATAGGTGTCTTGCATCAAACAGAATATTTTGAAGGTGATTGAAGTTTCAACATGTAGGAATAAATATACAACTTTCTATAAATAAATTCTGGGGTTCTTTGGGGTCCCCCTCGTATATGTATGTATTTCCTAAGTTAAAATATATTAGGAGCTCACACTTCTAAATTTGAACTTAATCACAATTCAAATTCAAGACTACAGTGTTTGACCAAACAGAATGATCTTCAATATGTGTTTCTTTTCTCCCACCCCCGACTTTCAGGTCTCAGTAATGCCAACATAATTTTCTGTTTCATCCCATAACAAGGAATAGAACCCTGCTACATGCTGCTACAGCACAGACAAACCATAAAGACACTGCTCAGTGAGGAAGCCAGTCACAAAAGGCCACATATTGTAGGATGCCAGTTAGATGAGAGAGAAACAAGTGGTCATCAGGTCCTGTGGGGGAGGGGCATGGTTACTTAGTGAGTATGGGTCTCCTTTGGGACGATGCAAATATTTGGGGACTAGAGGTGGTGGCTGTACAACACTGTGAATGTACGAAATACCACTGCAGCGTATGTTTTAAAATGGCTAAAAAATTGAGGACAGGGTTCTGCTGGGAGGATGAGTGAGTTCTGTGGATAGAAGGTGGTGACGGCTGCACTATATTGTAAATGTGCCTGTCCTGAACAGTGCACTTCAGATGGCGAATGTGCTACATTTAAGTGGTGTGGATGCCACCACAATTTTTAAAATTAAAAGAAAAAGAGGAGAGCCCCTGCAGAGGCAGCTGGGAAGATGTTGTTAATGATTAACATAGTAGATTTTCTGTGCTGTGCAATTTGCCACAACGAAAAATGTGAAATAGTTGGGCACGGTGGCTCACGCCTATAATCTCAGCAACCTGGGAGGCCGAGGTGGGAGAATTGCTTGAGTCCAGGAGTTCAAAACCAGTCTAGCCAACATAGCAAGACGTTGTCTCTATAAAAAAAAAATCAAAACATTAGCTGGGCATGGTGGTGCACACCTGTCATCCCAGCTACTTGGGAGGCTGAAGTGGAAGGATCACCTGAGCCCAGGAGGTCAAGGCTGTGGTGAGCCATGATCATGTGACTGTACTCTAGCCTGAGCCACAGAATGAAACCCCAACTCAAAAATAAATAAACGAATAAGAGAGAAGAAGAAGAAAGATGTGAACATAAAAAGCAAGGGCGAGGCTCAGCCATGGGTCAGGTAGAAGAAGCCCACCTCCCACAGCTGGGCGGGACTCACAGGGCAGGCGCTGGTGGTTTCTGAAAAGTCAGCCTTGGCTGGTAAGCCGGGGCAAAACAGAATGTGGTTACCCTTCGGACTGGGGGGGCGTGCCTGCTTTTCCCCCAGCTTCCCCAACCTGAACTCAACCCAGATACCCTGCGAGCGCTCCAGTGCAGACAGAGCAGGCTCCAGGAGAGACCTCCTGTTCCAGCCCAAGGAGCAGAAAAGGGATCCCCTGGAGCTCCGAGAGTGGGGAAGAGCCCCTGGCTTTTTTTCTGCTTGCTCGGACCCAGAGCCCAGGCAACATGATGGGGTGGCAAGAGCCACAAAAGCAGCTGGTGACAGAGAACTGAGGGAGCCTGAACTCTGAGGGAACAGAACGTCCCTCTGCAGGTGGTGGGCACCTGTGGCCCAGGGCCAGCCCCTCCTGCTGCGTTTTCCTCTCTCCTCCCACCACTGCACCAGGGTCAAGGACATGGGCAGCTTGTGGCTGGAGGACAGAAAGGAGGAGCCTGGGGAACTGGAAAGTATACCAAAGAGATGGTGGAGAGGAAAGGGCTCGAGAGAGTGTCCCTCACTACGCACGAATGCTGGCCCAGCCCACCCACACAGTCGGGCTGATCTGGATGTGCACAGCATAAGCTGATGACTAGGTGGGGGGCGAGGGGGGACAGGGGGGCATGGACATGCCCAGGTCCCAGGCTGACTGCTGGGGGGCACAGGTGCAGGGCTGGGGAAGCAGAGCAGACGTGGGCAGGAGCTGTGGGTGAAAGGCAGGAGGCAGTGGAATCTGCTGCTTTGACCTAGCGGGTCAGTGCCTGCTACAGCAGACATCAACCCTCGTGCAAGTGAACATGACCCAGAAGCGAAGTCATGGTCAAAGTGGACAGGGAGCTGCTTGGCACATGAAGAACCATGAAAGCCTCCATTCATATGGAGGAAGACGGTGACAGTGGAGAGACGCCATGGCCAGTGGACACAGACGTCAAGGTAAGCAATCGTGAGTACTCTGGAAACAAACGTTAAACAGAAAGCATGTGCAAAGAAACAAGAGATAACAGCCACGAAGTAGACACTGTAGGACAGAAAGATAGAATAATCGAAATGGAGCCCACTGGATACAGACTTCAGGTGGTATGTCCATGCTGGGTCAGGGATTGTAACAAATGCAGGCATCCACAGCAGGGGAGGATGTGAACACCTGGGGGCAGGGATTCTATGGGGACTTTCGGTACTTCCTGTTCAACTCTGCCATGAACCGAAAACTGCTCTAAAAATCAAGTCTACTCATTCAAGACCTCACTGGACAGATGCCCCAATTCAAAAGTGGGCAAAGGGCCTAAATACAGACATGGCTCCAAAGAGGATCTAGAAATGGCCAGTAAGCTCCTGAAAATGCGCCGTAGGCCATGGGTCATCAGGGAAATGCAAGTCAAAGCCACTACAAGAGACCACTTGCCACCTGCTCAGACGGCTGGAGTCAAGCGGACAGACGACACCAAGTGCTGGCAAGATGCGAAGGCAGAAGCCTCCCACTGTAGGCAGGAGGGTCAATGGCGAGCCACGGTGAAAAGACAGTCTGGCAGTCTCGAAGGTAGAGTCGCCACATGGCCCATGACCAGATCGATACCCAAGAGATGGGAAACCACGGTTCAGCCAACAACTTCTGTAAGAATGTTCATAGCAGCATTGTTCAGTCATCAAAAAGTGAAAAAGATTACTTCAAAATGTCCAAAGTTTGGGGAAGGATGGGTTTCCTTTGGCTGTGGGGTGAAGGAGTGCATCTCTGCAGAAAGCTCTGGGTGGCAGCATGTGGGGTCAGCACTTGGGCCTGGGAGCCTGGCCCCTGGGTTTGAGGCCTGGCTCTGCTACTGTGTAACCTCGGGTAAGTTGTCACCTCCCCGGCTGCCGAGGAAGCTCCCAGGCACAAGAGCATCGCCCAGGCCAGAACGTGCACACAGCCCTGTGGGGCTCGACAGGCCCACTTACCTTTAGGAGCGCCTGGTCATCCAGTGTGCACAGCATCAGCTCATGGCCCAGTCTCACCATCTCTGTTGGAGCACAAAGACACTGTCACTGTGGCCACAAACCCCAACAGAAGAGGACAGGACACTGGACACGCAGGAGGCTCCCAGCAAGCTAGGCTCTGAGGCTCTTCCCTGGTGAGGGGCTCTCACCACATCACCAACAGGCCCAGTACCTACAGGCCTGACAAGGCCCAGGGTGGACTGGAAGGCGGGTGAAGGACACACTCAGGTGCCAGCGCTGCCTCCAGCTGTGTGACCTGCACCCCTATCTGGGCATGTTTCCTCACCTGAAAAGGAAGAAATGGCACCTGAAGCCCTTCCATACATGCACTGGGGGCTCCCAGCAGCCACCAGCAGCGCCTGAGGGGCGGACAGAGGGCAGGCAGCCTCCGCACTGCACAGTGTGCTACCTCTCAGAGGCCGCAAAGGCCAAGGCAGGTAGACCCCTGCTCACATGGGGCCCTGTCCTAAAGGCCTTCATGTCACCATCCCCTGTCATCTGGACGGCACCCTTTACATGAGGGGAAACGGAGGCATGCACAGTCGTTGTTCTGGGTGCCCAGGCGTGTTCTGAGTGACCTACTGACATATAGAGAAAGGCCAGGACTTGGAGCCTGAAAGTCTAGGGCTGGTAGCTGCCCCGCCCCCCCACCTAGTCCCATGGCAATGTCCTCGCACCCCTCACAGCCAAGGCCCTTCCCTTACCCCCACGCTCCCTGGCCCAGGACAGGCCTAACCCTGCAAAGCACCTGCTTGGCAAGGCTTGTCACAAGAAGTGGGTGGAGGATCTGGGGAAACGCACTCGGTAACTCTGGAAAGGCCAGACAGATGCCAGTTGTGCCCCAAATCCTTGCGTCCTCCCAACTCCTTCGCCCTCGGCGAGGCCAGCCAACCTTCGTGCGCTCTAAACAGGATCTGGCCAGGGCTCCCCTCACCGCCCCTCCCAACTCCCATAGGACCACTCACTGCAAAAGCCCAGCGCTGGTGTCCCTGCTTCTGCCAGGTGCTCTCTCCTCAGCCCAGAGGGCCAGGAGACCTGTCATGTCCGATGGCAGACCACTGCCTTCCTTGGGGTACAAGCCCATGCACATGTTCCTATGGCCCACAAGTCCAGATTGGTGTGGCCCCATCGCCTCCTGACCCTTACCCTTGTTCTCCACCCTAGTCCAGCCACACCAGCGCCCTCACTGCTCCTCCAAGCCACCAGGCACAAGCCCACCTCAGGCCCTCTGCATACACTGCCCCCTCGCCCAGAAAACTCTTCCTCCTGATACCTGCCTGGCTCACTTCCTCTCCTCCCGCCAGCCTATGTCAACACCCAACCGGCGCCACGCAGCCTGGCTGTTCACAGTGCCTGTCCCCGGATGCACTGAGCCTTTTTCTACCTGCTTTGTCTAGCACCTGTCTCCCCCAGCTAGCTTGGAAGCTCCCTGAGGGCAGCACAACTCGCTGCTGTACCCCTGGCACCTAGAACAGTGCCTCATGTGGAACAGGTACTCCTGAAATACTTGTCAGATGAATTCCAGAACCAGTCCGGATGTCTGCCACTGATACTCTGACAAGCCAGGCACTCAGTGCACTGGCAAGGCAGGCAAGGCTGGGGTTTGCATCCCCACTTTATAGAAGAGGAAACTGAGGCTGGGAGTGGCGCAGTCAAAGCTATGAATGGGCTGGGCCAGCACATGTGTCCATGTATGTTACAGAACTCGGGTGTGGCCTCGGCCACTGGAAAGTGCCAGATACAGCGGCTCTAGGGAGAAGGACAGTGCCTCTGTGTGGCTGCTCCAAGACACAGCATCCCATTCTTCTGCCCACTGCAGCTGCGGGACCACTGTGCCCACATCATTAATCTGGCCACGCCAGTTGGGGCGTGGCTGGAGACTCCAGGGTCCAGTCTACTCACCCTGGAGTGGTCAGAACAAACCCAGGCCCGTGAGCACTTTGACCTTTGGAGACACCACCATGAAAGTAAGTGCTGGCTGCCACCATGGGGCCTGCAACTTTGCTCGCCCTTGACTTACACTTTCTACCAAGAGATGGTGGAAGGAGGTGATGAGATAAGCCTGACAGGGAACAACACACGTGCTCCCAGGAATGCCACGCATGGAGAGCACATGTACACACCAGTGACACGAGGAGACAGACACTGGCAGCGGCAACAAGAATCTCCATCTCTGCCTACCATGCCTGGGGAAAGCCCTGACTCTAGAAGGTTCTAACAACATCCACAGGGTGTGCACCATCCATAAGAAAACACTAGTCTGATGGAAAATTCACTACAACTCAGTCAGGAGACTACAAGCAAGCGTAGAAGTGCACAAAATTTCCCACCAGATGAGACCTACCTTGGATCTTCACATCTACTGGGGCCCCACTCAGTGAGGTGAACTTGTCCTCCAAGGATGGACAGGCTCTGCAGGAAAACAGCAAGACCTGTCAGAACCAAGACGGTGGGAGAAGTCCCTCAAGACTCTTCCACACACTAGCTTTGAAAAGCGAGTTACTCGTGCATGTGCTAAACGCTGCTAAAGCACTCGATCCTTTTCCTTTTTCATTTTATTATTATTATTGTTATTATTTTTTATGCCGAGGCTGGTCTCAAAATCCTGGTCTCAAGCAATCCTCCCACCTTGTCTTCCCAAAGTGCTGGGATTACAGGCATGAGCCACTCCACCCAACCAGAAGCACTCCCTTTAAAACAGCATCTTCGTCATGGACATGTCATCTCCAAGCATTTTCAGGGCACTCACACTTTAGAAAGTTTACCTCAGAAACAGAAATGTGAATACTTGAGTGAAAATTCTTCTCCCACGCACAAAGAGGTGACTGCACAGGAAAGAAGGGAGGGGACGCCTCTATACTCTGAGCTGTTTCTTGCAATGGTGGTGCAGGTAGGCTTGAAGGGTGCCGAGCCAGGCCCTCCTGCACTGGCACCGGGTGGGTGCTGGGCCCCTCACGCCCAGACTGGCCTCCCCCGGGAGGGGTGCCTTCTTCCCATACAGCCCAAGTATACCCAATCCCCGCCTCGGCCTCCACCAGTGCAGCCCACCCAGCTCCTGTAGACACAGCCACCTCCAGAAAGCCCACAGCCTACTTAGCATCCCTGTCTCCCAGTGGAGCCTGGGCACCGTCCTGTCATGGGGCTCCCACCTCCTGGACCACAGGTTTGCCGAGGCCCCGAGGCTTTCCATTTGGTATCTCTGGGGCCCAGTGTGGTAGCCAGCACGAAAAGGTGGCCAGCATTAAACGACAGGATAACCATCACCTCTTGCCTCGGATGACCTGCCACTAGTAAGCGCCCATGCTTGGTTCTTTCCAGAGAGGGGCGTTCTCTAATTTTGAAAAAGCAACATTCACCGTGTAAGCAGGAGCTAGCCCACAAGCAGTCCCGCGTGTCTGTAATAAGGCTGTACTACATCCAGCCCACTCACTCTTCTACACGTGCCCATCTGCTGTCCTGGCACCATGAAGGCCAGTGACACTGATTCTTGGCCCTTTAGAGAAAAGGCTTGCTGATGCCTGCTTTCTGCCTTTTAAAAAAAACTCCCACTGTGCTCAACTCTGTGGTCCACAGTCCCAGCCATTCACGTGTGGCATGGTGAAGCCCTGACCTTGGCCACAGCACACAGATTCACATGGCAGAGGCCACTCATAAGCGCCCTGCCTTAAAGGTGGTGTGGTAGACAGAACCGCTTTCAGATGCAGATTGCGTGGAAGGTGGGGCGTTCTGTCACACCAGGCACACATCACGAGTGCCACACAGCTCAGACCTCCCCCCGGGTCTCCTCCTTCAGGGAGAAAAGCACTGCATACACATCCCATGCTCCAAGCCGGCACAACACAGGCCACAGGCTATCATCAGGGAGTTCCAGGAGCTCACTCTGTGGCCGCCCCCCATGAAGAGAAAGAGGCTCTCTGCACAGGGCTGCTAGAGCCTGGCTCCCCTGCCATTGCCCGTGTCAGGGGCTTGCCAGCTGGGCGTGGCAGGAGAGGGCACGGTGGTATTGAGAGGTCATACTTGGCCCGGGCCTGCAGCAGGGACCAGGCTGGGCTTCATGGCACTGCACTGCCTGCCTTCACGACTTACAGATATGACCATGAGTTCTGCACAAACAGGGCTGGGGAGGAAAGTGTGAGGTGCCAGGAGACAGGCTGCTGTCAGCAGGGTTGCCGGGCAGTGTCCCTGAGCACAGGGTGCTGGCGGAGCAGAGTGCTATCACCTGCCACATCCTCCACAAGGCTTGATGCAGCACAACCCAAACTACTCAAAACCAAGCCACAGAAGCTCAAGCTGCCTGATCGGAAAGGGGGTCATTAAAGTCAGCCTCATTGTCACAGCAGGGAGCGGAGCAGACACCAAGAGTGCTCCCGACCTTGGAAGCATCAAGGAAACCCACAGGGCCTTGACCTCAGCCACCCAGGGGTCCCCACGGCTCTGCCCCACATCACGCTGACGTCTGGCACATGTCAATCCCCCAGCCGAGACGAGGTGCAACCTCCAGGTTCCACCAGGAGGTGAACAAAGCAGCCCCATGGGTTGGCGGACATGGCACAGCCACGCACAGAAAGGCAACAAGGAATCTGGAGGAAAATGAAAATCCACCACATGCTCCTTGAGGGTCCCAAAAGGCCTAAGGAATTTTTGCCAACCTGGGCTCATGCGACACCAGTATACATTCCCAAGCTGCTTCTTAAAAGTATTTAGAGAAGCACTACAGGTGGAGTACCCCAATCTGAAAATCCAGAATCTGAAATGCTCCCAAATCAGAAACGTTTGGGGTGCAGATATGACGCTCCAAGGCAATGCTCATTGGGGCATTTCAAACTTCAGACTTGGGATGCTCGGCCAGCATAGTGCAAATGTTCCCAAGTCTGAAACTTTTAGTGTGCCAACATGACACTCCAAGGCAATGCTCACTGGAGCACTTCAGATTTCGGATTTTCGGACTTGGGATGCTCAGCTAGCATAATACAAATAGTCCAAAATCTGAAAAAAGCAAATCTGAAATATTTCTGGCCCCAAGCATTTTTTAAATAGGGTCATTCAACACGTAGAAGTATTTGAGGGACGTAGCTTTGGCCTCCTACCCATCCCTCTCTGGCCAGTAGATCACTTCCGTTCCCTGTGGGCTCCGAACTTCTGCGTGGGCCAGGCAAATCCATGCTCCCTCCCATGAGAGCCTGCTCCCGGGAGCTCGCTCAAGTCCCTTGCTGTGGCCAGGTCCTCCCCACTACTGCCTCTCCGCCCAGCTTTCTGGACCAGGCACTGGTCCTGCCAGGGCCATCAGCGGCTGTCACACAAGCCAACTGCCACTCTGAGCCAGGCTCCTGCTGTCTTTTCCTAAGGGATTGGTCTCCCTGCCTCCAACCACTCCCCTCCAAATCCATCTGTCACAGAGTCCTCCATGTCACCTTGCCAAAGTACCAGTCACAGCATGTGGCTGCCCAGGTCCCATGCCTGCCCTCCCCAGACATAAAGTTCAAATGCTTCATGTGGCTTGCTCTCCTACCCATTCCTCAACTCTCCCGTCCAAACAAGTGTCCCACTATTGCCTGCCCCCTCCCAGATCAAATGTCACCTCCTCCTTGCCCACATCCACAGCCCTCGGCTCAGACTGCAAAGGTGTGAGCCATTTCTTCTCGACACTGCAGCTCGCACCCACTAAAGCCCCAGTGCCTTGAGGACACCATTTGTGTCTGCAACACCTGAAACGGCACATGGGTGCACGTGGGTCTGTATACCTGGCCGGCAGGTTGCAGCCTGGAGAGTCTCCCAACCATGTGCCTACCCCGTGCTGCAGCCCATGCTTTGGAGAGCCAGACAGGACAGCAGGCCAAGACAGCACCAACAGGCTGAGGGCCCCAGCAGGAGTGGGGTATGCTCAAAAGGCTGTGGGCACCCATGGGGACGATAAGAACGTCCGTCGCAGGCATGGTGTTCCCAAGGAACAGACATGCCGCAGGATGCTCTGGGTCATTCCCTGTGCCATCTGAGCAGGCTCTGCTTCTAGTACACACACTCAGGAAGGGCAACCTGTCACCCTGGGCCTTGTATAGGGCCAGGCACACACCATGCCACACCCTGGCCCAAAGGTACCAAAGGACTGGGAAACGGGTCGCGGCGCAGAAGCTGGCAAGAGCTGGCACTGCATAGGAGCCATCCAGTGAGCTGAGACCCAGGTGGGAGCCCATGCCCTGGCCTTGCTTGCCACTCCTGCACTGCAAGACCTGGGGCAATTCATGACCCCAACAGAACCCTCTCCTCCTTGTCTGAAAATGAAAAGACTGCAGAAGAGTCCCTCTGAAGTCCCTGCCAGTCCTGAATCTCCAAGCTCCTAGTTAGGTGATGCTCAGAAGCCAAGCTCAGCACTCCAGCAAGGGGGCAGATGGACTAGCCCAGCACTGCTGGGGGCCACTTCCCCCCAGTATGAGCATGGATCTGTAACCAGCACTTCTCAGCTACCCAGCTGCCCTCACAGGCCTGGGATAGTGTATGGTGTCTTCTGGGAGAATCACTACTTCAAGAAACCACACAGTTCATCTTCTCCAGCTGGGGTGGGGGGGGCGCCCATGTACACCCCCGATGAAAAGAGGAAGAGGGCAACCCTATTTCAGGTCCCCGCCTGCTTGGGAGCTTTTTTTGTCTTTTTAATAAACTCCTGCTTTAAAAAAAAAAAAAAGAGGAAGAAACCAGGGCATTTACCGTATACACATCCATTCCAGGACCTCCAAGCGGTACTTCGAGGGGTTACACAGCAGTTCCTGGATTGTCTCTGGTCCTGTAATATACAGACCCTCAAGGAAGGGGCAGTTGAGGTCCTAAGCAAGAAAATGGAAGGCAGAAGCTTTAGGAAGCCACAACCACGGAAGGGTCACAATGTCTTGTGACTCCTCCAAATGCACACCCTCTGGACTCTTGTGGCAGCAGGAGCTAGGAGCATCGCCTAAGACAAAGACTTTAGACTGGGGAGGAAGGGAGGGAGAAGGACAGAGCTGTGGTGCTGGGGAGGGAATAGGGGAGGGGTGAGATGCGGAGAGGAGCAAGGTCCAGGAGAGGACCAGGAAGAGGTGGGAGGGGTGAGGTGGGGCTAGAGGCGGGTGAGGGAGAAGAGAGGAAGAGCGGGACACGTCAAGGGGACCTGGAACAGCTAGTTTTCTGACCTCGTGGGCCCTGTCTCCTAACTGCTAAGATGAGGGAATAGTTATGTGGGGGCTGCTGAGGGGTTCTGGAGGCTAAAGCTAGCCGACCGGAGTGCCCGGCACCCAGCAGCCAACCCTGGCATCTGACGCCAAGCCCTCATTTCGCTGCCTTGACAAGGTAGCACTGGGCTCTGCCCATCTGTCCCCCCAGGCCCTGCGTCCTCCGTCTCTGCACCTGCTCCGAGCGCCCAGGCCGGGTCTTGCAGAGTCCCATGCGCGGCGCTAGCCCCACCTACCAGGCACGGGTCGTGGAGACAGTAAGAGCAAAGGCCCGGGTACCCCAAAGAGCAAGCATGGATACTCCACGATTAGCGCCTGCTGCGGGGAAATGGACAGTGCTGGGACCGGCGACACGGGCCATGAGGCGCCGCCGACTTCCGCAGCAAGCCCGCCCGGGCTTCGGGCAGAGTCCTACGCGTCCCCCTACCCCGGGTTCCTAGGCCTGCGGCACCTTCAGCTTCCCGAACACCTCCACAGCCGCCTTTAACACGCTGTCATCGCCCTCGTCCTCACAGACTCCGCCGCCAACACCCGAGCCCTGATCGGCCATGTTTCGCGTTGGGAGCCGCGCCCCGCCCGCGCCCTGGCTTCACTGGCTGGCCCGGTTGCCAATCACGCGCCAGTTTTCTTCCCGCCCACCTGACTGCGCATGGGCGAGGCGGGGTCAACCGGAAGGCGGGAGCGGCTCTGGCCCACCCCCTCCCTGCCGAGCTTTCCCATTGGACGGCGGCCTAGGGGACCAGCCACGGAGAAGCGGGCGGGCCGAAGCGGGCCGGGGCGGGGTCGGGAACGGGCCAAGCTGGAGCTGGCTATCTGACACCGCCTCGCTGACGTTGCCCCAGTCAGCGGTGGGTGCAAGGACGCATCAGTGCGAGGCGCAACCAGGAGGGGGCGCCCCGGCATTTGTCGAGTTCTTCCAGGCCACAGCTTGGGGGACCCTGGTCCCCAGGACGAAGGGGAGCCTTAGGTGCAGAACGGAACTGGGACTTGAGCGTCCCTCTCCCAGTGCGGGGATGTCTTCTGTTTACCACGCTTATGCTATAGTTATAGGGCAGTTTCTTGAGTCACTCACTAGCTATGTGACTTTGGACCAGTTACCTAACCTTTCTGTGCCTCCTTGCCCTCACCTAGTGAGCATGAGAGCACCTACCTCACTGGGTGGGTTGCTAATGAGGTAATAATTCCGGTGAAATAACTAGGACGATGCCTGGCACGTACAAAGCACCATGTAAATATTCACTATTATCATATACTGCACTGCTCCCCCTCACTGTTCCCCCAATCTATCTGTGGTTCCTTCACACCCTGTTCTGGGAGGTGTGCAAGCCCAGAGAGTTGGGCAGGGATGTGGAGGGGTGGATCCCACTGTGGGAGAAGGAGGGGGCAGGTCCCACCTTGTCCACTTACACATTTCTTTGCATCTCTCAGGCCCCTCAAACTCAATGAGTCTGCAATGAAAATTGCCAGCCTCTCCTCCCCTAGACCTACCTGCAAAGCCCCTAGTTCACTGAATGTCCCCAAACCTGGGACCTGCTGATTGGATGAGGCAGGAAGGAGCTGGAGGGTGACTTGTGCCCAGGAGCTGAGAGACAGCATCAGGCAGCTGCTGCCAGAGTCTCTCTCTCCTCTGTATCCTGCCCTGTCATCTCCTGGAGGGTGAGATCAGGGGTAAGTCTAGAGTCAAGGAGACCCAGGGATCTGCTAGGAGGCAACTGCAGTCATCCAGGTAACAATGAGGCAGTTATAGTTAGCATAGCACATAGTTTAGATGGAGTTAGGCAAGTTTTCTTGGGCAGATCTAGTATTAGGTAACCCAGAAACAGAGGAGTTCAGCACTCAGGCTCCCGATTGTCCAGGCATCCCAGCCCTGACCACCTTGAGAGTTGAATGTGGAGCTACCAGTGCAGTAAATCACAGAAACAATAGAGAATTACCCAAAACACAGAGACATGAGGTTCTAAGAAAGCTCCAAATCTAGTTAGGCAGTAATTCACATTATTTAGGAGGTCCTTGTGACCTTAAAAGGTTGAGAGATAGTAATCAAAACTTGTGATCAGAGGCTTACAACCCTTTACCCTGGAATAGTCTGCTTAACCATTCTTGTAAACTTGCATAAAGCTTTTTGTTAAAGGCAAAGGAGTGTCCTTTCCTTTAAGGCACCCACGGTCTCTCTTGAGCATGTTTTCCTCTCTATAATAAACTGTACTTCAACTTTCGTGATTTGCTCTGAAATTCTTCTCTGCAGTGGAGAAGTCAAGAACCCATGGAGCAACTACACCCCACACCACCCAACATCAACGGGAGAGAACTTAGCTCTGTCCTGGGAGGCAGGAGTCTGGGGCTAACAAGAAGGGAATTAGCCTGGCCCACGGAGGCCCCAACACAGGCCCAGCTGATTCCCTATTGAATGGACAACATGCAGCCTTCAAACTTGAGCTGAAGGGATCTGAAGCCTGGCCTGAGAGCCTCAGCCTAGGGGCCTAGCAACCTACAAAGCCCCTCCCCACCCTTTGACGTGGCTGCTAACTTGGGCCCTTCTGGAAGCTGAGGGCTGTCAGGGACTTTTCTGTTTTGTTTTGTTTTTTAATCTTTTTTCCCCCTCTTTTTCTGTTTCTGTTTTTCTTTCTTTCTTTTTAGAAAATTTCATTTCAATCACAGCCTCAGCTCAGACATTCAAATTCTTGTGGGTTTTTCTGTGGATCTTTCCTAGGACTGGGGAATTTGGCGGGAGAAACCACGGCAGTGTGGCAGCCTTCTCCACCCTCCCCATATCCTCTGCTCCTGAGGATGGGAAGAAACCAGCCCCTGTGTATTCTGGAAGAAAATCCCCCTTCTCCACCCAGCTCCATGGAGCCAGTACACTAAGTAGGCCTTTCCCCAACTCGGCAGCTCTGTCTGCTGCACAGGGTCAGACGTGGAAGAATCAGCAGGGCCTGGAGGGGAAAGGACCATCTTGAGAGCCACACCACCTTGAATCACAGCACCTCCCAGTCATCCTCCACCAGAAAGGCTGGAAGCCGGGATGGGAACAGAGAGGCTGCCAGGCCTCTCAGGAAGCAGGGAAGAAAGGTCCCAGGAGTAGAAACTTCTGGAAATGTGGACTCAATCTGAATACAAGGAAGCACTTCTCCCAGAAAACGCTACATGAACACCAGCTGACTCCCCAGAGAGGGAGGGAGCTGTCCTGGGAGTTGTGCAAGCCCAGGGAAGTGGGTAGGGATGTGGAGGGGTGGATCCCACTGTGGGAGAGAGGAGGGGCAGGCCTCTAAAAGGCATTCCAGCCCAGAGCCCCTGGATTCTGTGAAGAAAGCCTGGGTGGGTCAGGGGCCATCATTGACCTGAAGGTGTGGTGCCGGAGGCGCTGTGGGGCCCCAGCAAACCTGGGCGTTGCATGCAGCTAGAGCCAATCTCCCGATCGTGGGGGAAACTTGGCCATGGGTCCCAGCAAGGCCTTAGCCATGTGTCAGTGCTTGGAAACCAGGTTGGAAAATGAGGCCAGTTGACAGGCACGAGCCTCACCGCGCCAGGGATGGGCTGGCGGGCAGTGGAGATGTGTGAGGCCTCTCAGTTGATGCGGTGGCCCTGGAAATGCATGGCTACGCAGTAAGGACCACCAAGTCAAATGGCCTTCCTGTCCTATGGAGAGTGTTAGGATAAGAGAAAGTCCCGGAGAGTATCTTGGCCCTCATGTTCACATGCGTTTAGCGCAGATTCCAGGATGCAGTGGTGAGCTCAGCCAGGGCCCCCAGCGGACTCTACAGAGCAAAAGAAGCCAGGCCCAAGGGCTCTCCCCGCCACCGAGGAAAAGACAGGGTGGCTTCTGTGCCATCCCACAGGGGTTAGAGTTAGACCTGAGGAGGAGCCGCCCCACCTAGGGGACATAGGCCCCATGATGTTGTCCTAGCTTAAGGCCTAGAAGGCCTTGTGCCATGAGCCACATCACCTTCTGACCCTGAACCTGGGGAGCCTCCAAGAGGCTCATCCTCCCCACACCTGGATTTCCCCAGTAAGTGCGGAGAGCACCAAATACAGGCTCTTGATGAAAGGGCCAGTAGGTAGGTAGGTAGGTAGGTAGGTAGGTGTGTGTGTGTGTGTGTGTGTGTGTGTGTGTGTGTGTGTGTGTGTGTGTGTGTGTGTACATGCATGATATTTCAGAGGGAGAGTTCAGTTATGGGATGAGAAGCTTATCACGGCCCTGGCACAAGTAAATGGCAATTCCTGGCACTGGATTCAGGGGACAAATGAGACAGAGTGATGAGGTCAAGTTGAGAATGCTCTGACTTCGAGACTCTCCCCAGGCGAGGCCAAGCCAGGGTGCTACTTCCTCCTCTTCTCCTCTCCCCGCTCCCCTGCTCTTCCCCCTCCCCTTTCTTCCCCCTTATCTCCCCCTCCCCTTCTCTTCTTCTCCCCATCCACCCTTCTCTGCTCCTGAGCTGCCAGGCTAAGCCATGGATCACCCACCCACCCAGGCATCCTGGCATGCAGGCTCAGCACCCAGGTTTTGCAGCCAGCCTATGCCATCCGTGCCAGCCAGGAGCCCACTCAAAAACCAACCCTCTTCATGCAGATGGGAGGAGGGTGGGGGACATGAAGAACCTCAACGCTATGGGGACCTCACACTCTGATGTGGGCCATGAGACCCATAGGGCTCCTGCAACGAGAATGTCACTGGCTTTCCTTCAGGTGGCTGTCATTGGCCATGAGGACTGACCTGGCTGAGCACATGCTACTGGTGTCCCATAAGTCCAGAGGACTCCAGAGCTGCCAGTGTAGGCCTCACAGAGGAGGGCCTGCCATGACTGTGAGCTCAGGGAGGATCTAGTGGTCTCCGGTCCTAACTCTGGTTGGAAGACACTGTCAGTCTAGGAGCTGACTGTGGGAATGCAAACTAGTGCAATCTCTTTAGAAGACAGTGTGGTGATTTCTGAAAGAACTAGAAATTGACCTTCCATATGACCCAGCAATTCCCCTATTGGGAATATACCCGGAGGAACTGAAATCATTCTACAAAAAAGGTAGCTGCACACGTATGTTTGTTGTAGCTCTATTCACAATAGCAAAAACATGGAACCAACCGTGCTGCCCATTGAAGCTGGACTGGATAAAGAAAATGTGGTCCATATATACAATGGAATATTATGCAGCCATCAAGAAGGACAAACATATGGCCTTTGCAGCCACTTGGATGGATTTGGAGTCTATCATACTCAGTGATCTATCACAGAAGCAAAGAACAGAGTATCATATGTTCTCACTCACAAATGGACCTTGAACAATTATAATACTATAAAAAAGCATTTGGCAGTAATGGGAAACTGTCAGGGGGGGGGGGGTGGGAGTGGCAGCTGAGGGAAACTGCTAGGGGAGGGAGGGCACGCCTCTTCAACAAGGGTACCTGCGTGATCCATGTTTGTATACCTACCCTGAATTGTACCCCACATCTTTATAATACAAATAAATAAATACAGAAAAATAAAATAAAATAAAAGATGCAACTCTGGAATGTTCTCACCCTAGGCCTCTGTGTCCACCTTGAAAAGCTACCGGCCGCTGACCTTCTCTTCCTGTCACTTCTAGTCCTTATGCTGGGCTGGGGACCATGGCAACACCAAGCAAGGGCAGCTTCTCACAAGAAGGGAACACAGAGCCGGACTTGGCGGGGAGAGGCAGAGGTTGTGGGGTCTTCCTTTGTCCTCCTGTCCCAGGTCTCACAAATGGAGGTGGGGAAATGGGCTGCGGCCCTGACGACCCTTGTGTGTCCCATTCACGCCCTCCACTCCCTGTTTGCTGTGGTCCAGGCGAGAGGATGCGCACAG